TCGGTTCTCACTAAGGGCATGTACCTCGGTTGCAGTTTGTCCCCGGCCCTGGTTGGGTTGTGCGGGTGGCAACGACTCGATGTGTCCCTTTCACGTCGATGTTTTTCTCTCTCTCTGTCTCTCCCTCCCACTCTATCTGAACAAATGGAAAAATGTCCTCGGGTGAGGATAAAAAAAAAAAATTTTATTCTCCCTGGTTCTGGTTGGGTCGTGCGGGAGGCAGCCACTTGATGTGTACCTTTCACGTCGATGTCTCTCTCTCTCTCTCTCTCTCTCTCTCTCTCTCTTCCTCTTCCTCTCTCTCCTTCCCACTCTATCTGAATAAAAAATGGAAAACTGACCTCAGGTGAGGATAAAAAAGAAAAAAATGTTAATACTTGTCCTCACCGGTTTTGCTCAGTGGTTATTGCGTTGGCCTGCAGACCAGAGTGTCCTGGGTTCAGTCCCCGCTAAGGGCACGTACCTCGGTTGCAGTTTGTCTCTGGCCACAGTTGGGGTCGTGTGAGTGGCAACCACTGGGTGTGTCTCTCTCGCATCGATGTTTCTCTCTCTTCCTCTCTCCCTCCTGTTCTACCTGAAGATAAATGCAAAAATGTCTTTGGGAGAGGATTTTTTAAAATGTTAATAATTTATTAATTTCTTTATTACAGATGTCCCTCCTTTTTCCCCTTTGACACCCTCCTCCCTGCCCCCCCCCCCTTGATGTCCTTATTTAATGTATAACTTTTATTGACTTGTTTTGAGTTAACAGCATGAGGAACTCAATCTTTATTACTGTAATTAAGGATGTTGTCAGAAAGAGGAATGCATGGTAACTAAGAAGTCATCTTTAGCCAATCACTAGTCTGATAGTATGTATGTATTTGATTATAAGATTGGAACAGCTTTTCATCACATGTGTTTTATGAGCATTTTCTGTGCTGGATCCTATGTATGTAAGTGTACATATTACCATATATTTTGTCATCCAAACTCTGAGACTATTTGACTATTGAAAGTTTGCCAAAGCAGTAGCCATAAACCAAGACTGTCCTGGACATAAAAAGCACCATATGATTTTTTAAAAAATGTTTTTCATTGATTTATTAGAGAGACATAGAAACATCAACGTGAGCTCTGGCAGGTTTGCTCAGTGGTTAGAGCATTGGCTTGCGGTCCAAGGAGACCTGGGTTTGGTTCCCGCTAAGGGCATGTACCTCGGTTGCAGTTTGTCCCCGGCCCTGGTTGGTCATGCAAGTGGCAGCCACTCAACGTGTCCCTTTCACATCGATGTTTCTCTCTCTCTCTTCCTCTCTCTCCCTCACATTCTATCTGAACCAAAAAAAAAAATGGAAAAAAATGTCCTCGGGTGAGGATAAAAAAAAAAAAAAAAAAGAAACATCAAAGTGAGAAACATCGATGGGCTGCCTCCTGCATTACCCCTACTAGGGATGGAGCCCGCAGCCGGGGCATGTGCCCTGACCAGGAATCCAACTGGAATCTCTCAGTCCCTGGGATGACACTCAGTCCACTGAATCACGCTGGCCAGGCCACCCTATGATTTTATTATAGACAACTTCACACATAGGTTTAAGGAAGCAGCCCAAATCATAGACAAGGTGATTATTCATCACTGTTTTTGAATGGCCAGCAGGAAGCTTTTCCAGTAACAAAAGGAGCCAAACCCTTGAATTTCATCAATTTGTCATCATGGAACTATTGCCTGCTGGGATTTAGAACTTCTAAACTTTATGTCCATAATCAATAGGAAGCTGGCCAGAAGGCCTGGCCATCAGCATTCTGAACTCACTGCCTAGTTACACAAAGGCAGCACTGGGTGTGGCAATAAAGTGACAATTTTGAGTTTCTCAGAGCCTGTGCTATCTCCGGCCTTCAGAGGAATGTTATGAACATCCAGGCCACAGCTTTTAGTCCTGTTCTCTTAGCGACAGCCTTTCCCATTTCCCTCACAGTGATGAACTCGATGAGGGCTAGGCTCAAAAATCTCAGCTCAGTCCTCAGAACCCACGTTTGGTGAGGATATTCCAAAGGAAAACTTTCTCTCACCAGGTGGCAGATGTTGCTAGTAAAAAAAAAAAAAAAAAAAAATCCTCCATGTGTTGGGGGATGGGTAAATAGGAAATTTGTGTCCGATTTTGCTGTGAATCTAAAACTATTTCTAAAAAGAAAGTCTATATGAAAACATTAGAAAATGATTTAGTATCTTAGAGAAAGGTCCTTAAATGGGCCCCTGGAATAACATGGCAAACATTTATTAAGAGCTCAGTGTGTGCCAGGCTCTGCTTGATGCACTTGAACTCATTTGCTCTTCACAGCACCCCATGAGGGAAGCACAATTACTGTCACCCAAATTTTACAGAAGAAAGTGGGGCACAGAGAGGTGACATACTTGCCCAGGTCACAAGGCTAGGAAGTGCGGAGCCAGGATTCAGGCCCCAGCAACAGAGGCTCCAAAGCCAGTTGCTCTCAACCATCTCTTAAGGATACAAAAGAATGAAAAGAAACTTGATTTTGCACAGAGAATAAACAGCGCACACTACCTGCCGTGGCCACTGCTGCCTTCTGTCTCCAAGGGGACCTGGAGGACTTTCCCAAGGGTTAGGAAACCCTGCTGAGAGGCCCCAGGAGAGGTTAGGGCCAATTCCACTTTAATAAATTCTCTCATTCTCTTTATAACAAGGCACTGACATGCTTTCAGAAAAGTACTTCATAGCCTCGTCCTAACTACGTACTAGTTACCCCAGGCCAAGCCTCACTAACTTGAAGGCAAAAATGAGTCCATTCTATCTCCTAAATGGCCTCCCATAGAAACGCTTTATAGAATAAAATAATATGATTCAACAAAATATGGCAAGAGCCAAAGTAGAGGGGAGGAAACAGACACCATAGACAAATGAGAAAGCAGTTCTAAGTGTCGCAGGTGGTAATGGATCAGTGGTGAAGCCAGCCAGGGCTCCAGAGAGGATGTGTGTGTCCTTTCCTTCTCCTCAGCTATCTGGGCTCATACTGTTTCTTATTCAACCTCTGTTAAAGGATTGTGTTTTACAATTCCTGAACTGGATGGACATGTCCCTTTCTGGACATCTTGGCTGAACCTGTGTTCCTGATCTGGAGGGAAATCTATCTGCACAATGGTAGGTCTTTCTGCAGTTTACTCCTCACAGCTGCTTTCTGTGCCTTTGAATCAAGCTGGAGACATCTTCCCGGATCTCAGGAGCCGCTTTCAGGACCTAACAAGACATCTGTCTCCTTTAGCAAACACAAGCGGAGGCAACTCTGTATTGGGTTGCCTGTTTCCCTAGCACACATGCAGACATATGTGTGGCCACCAAGCAGAACTATTTAAAGACACAAGAACTGGAAAACAGTGGAGCATAACCAAATGTGTGTGTGTGTGCGCGCGCACACACACACACATACACACACACCCCACCCCCCAACTGGCAACAGATCTAAAGCTCTTTTCAGGAAGCCCAAACTATTTTAACACAAAGAGTCGGAACTATAGGGGTCCCTTACTAAAATCCTTTGCTATTGAAGTCTGGATTTTTCTTTCCCAAGATGGAATAAATAAATGCAGAGGTGAATATTTTTAAGGTAAATATGACAGCTGAATGAAAAATAGAGCAATGGCAAAAGATTCTTTCTTCTCCTTCATCCTGGAATATCATGGGCCTTTCAAAGGCAGACCTAAAGGGTCTGGGGCTAAATTCAGGCCAGAGAGACTGTTTCTGTTCAGCCCCTAGGATTTCCACACCTTTACAAGGAGGAATGGGTTTCAGGAGTCTCTGGCAGATAGACTTTATGCAATGGTTTCTGGTTCAGTGCTGATCAGCCTTCAAAGGATTATTTGATCACAATCCATGAAACTTGAGCCACTGGACACTTGGATGGGTGAACAGGATAAAGGAAGTTCCATTTTCCTTGTCATAATTCTAAATATGTTGGAAAAAATTGACCTTGCTACAATACCACTTCCCTTCTCTGGCTAAATTGCTCCTCACATCTTTTCCAGCCTATTGTGCCCTGGTAGGGTGGCCCTGTCTGCCCCAAAGGGTTTTCATTTCAGGTCAGTCAAGTGTTCTATTCTTGGTATTCTTGGTAAAGCACATGTCATTGCAAAAGCAGTTTCAGGCTCATAGAATTTTAGCACTGGGCCTAATTCCATAGACCTATGGGGGTGAGTAGGTAGGGAAGCAGCCCTGACTGAATGCCTGCTGAGTGCCAGGCACTGTTATTGTTTACATAATTCTTTCATCTTCTTATTAACTGCTATTCTTTCAGGCTGATCTGAGCGAGGGTGTCTTAAGGGCTGAAAGGACAGTGGGACAATTAACTGAGGTCCACACTGCCTGGCATGTCCTCATCACTCTTTCCTAGCTTCCCTAGCAGGAAGGGGCTGGAGGCCGCCGCTTCCCCACCCTTTCCACTTGCGGTTTATTCACTCACTTTCTTCCCTCTTCTATCCCCAGGTGGGACCCTCGGTTCCTACCCCTTGTCCCGGGCTACAGGTGAGTCAGCCGATTACTACCCCTTGTCCTGGGCTACAGGTGAGTCAGCCGTTCGGCCTGGAGCCAACACATCCCGCAACTGAGCCACCAGCTGGCCTCCCTCCTCCCAGCCACAGACGACACCAGACCTTACACAGCCCTCCTTAACCAGCTTGAAGTCACAATCGCCTCCCTCTCAGGGCCACCCGCCCCCAGCAACATCAAACACGACCCATCTTGTAGCCCTCCTCCCTGTTCCCGCCCCCTCTGGGCTGGCCTTATCCAATAAGGTCTTGGCCCACAGGCCAAAGACGTCAAAAATAACCAATGGTCTTCGTTAAGGTCCTGAGGGGCAGCATCGCCGACCAATGGGCTATCTTCTGGGTGGAATAAGCGCGCGGGGCTTGTAGAGCAGCGGCTGAGCCACCCAATGAGCCGGCGGGTTCCTGTGTTTAGGGGCGTGGTAGGAGCGGTCGTCAGGGGCGTGGCGGCAGTTGCTTGGGCGGGGCCGGTAGCAGCGGGAGCTGCACTGGCCAGGGGTTCCGGCTGCATTTCCATGAGCGCCGCGGAACTGCAGGAACCGGACCGGGGACAAGCTGGGCCTCTGGAGTTAACCACGCACAGGTAAAGCCATAGCCGAGCGAGTTCTGCTAAGCCGGGATCGCGCCCTGGATCCGTTCGGCCAAACCCCTGAAACCCCGCGGTCCTCGTCGTGGCTCGGCCCGTCGTGCCGCTGCCTGCCTGCCCGGGATCCTCGGGGCCTGTCAGCTGGCGCCGCGGGGGTCCCCAGGGCCCATTCGCAGAGTGGCCGGGAGGGAGGCAGCCTGGACCGCAGCGGGTGGGATACGCGTTCCTGAAAGCCCTTTGTCCCCTCCTGCCCCAGTTACCGAGGTTGGGGACATCCCCGGCTGTAGCTAGCCTCTCTGCCGGCTATCCCTCCATCGGTGCACACTCTGGGGACCTCTGGCTCAGGCTTGGTGATGGAAGTCCAGGAACCGCACCTGGAAGGAGAGGGCCAAGGGGCCTGAATATAGCCCCGGATATCCGAGGAGCCTCTGTGTTTCTGGGCTCCAAGGGTGCACCCAGGACCGGTGGGTTAAAGTAGGAAGGCAGCTTTTGATCCACTTGGAGTCATACTTATTGAGCTCATCTCCTCTCTGGGCACTGTTCTAGGCGCTTCGTGGGCTTTCCCCACAACTAGAGCTGTCCAGCAGGCACTGGTGGACCTTGGAAATGTCCAATAAAAGACCAGATGACAGCCACCTGTCAGGGATGCTTAGAAAGGGTTACCAAGGGAGAACTCCATGAGCCACCTGTAAGGCGTTTCTCCACTCACTGACGCATCCTGGGTGACCTTTAATGCCTAGCTTGAGAAGGATGCTGGTTAGTTTGCAAGTGGATGTTGCATTCACCCACAGTGAATTCTGTGGTTTCAACTCTCAAGAGTGGGTGTTAGCAACGAGAATGGACTATACCAAGAAGATAAGGCTTATTTTGCCATCATGGACCTCCTTAATTTGAAATGTGGACTGCCTCTCTTAATCTTCCAGTTCTTCCCACTCGGCATGTCAGTTTCACCTACATTCCAGTAGCCGAATTTGACCCAGTTCAAAAAACAGGCTCATGAGAAAGGCCTGGGGAGACTGTAGGTTTGGCAGGGTTTGTGATCTGTGCCTAGAGCTTTTTGGGGGCCATTTTATTAAAACCACGTTAAGTAGAGCCCAAAAGAGAAACCATACAGTACCACTTGATTATTCTCTGTCATATGCCTGAAGAGAGAGGTCATGATAATCTTCTGAAGGTCAGGAGACAGGGGACCTTAATACCACTTGCTGCCTGGTTTAGGCTGAATTAACCTCTGAATAACCAGTCAGAAAGCAGATCAGTCCTTATACAGCATGGACTTGTGGCATTTTAGAGCTGAAAACACCTTAGATAGAGCTCATCTAATCTGTCTTCTCAGTGCACACGTGAGGAAACTAAGGCCTGGGGAGGTCACGGGGCTGACTGGTCATCACAGAGCCACGAGTAAAGGATGCTCTGTTGACCCTGGGTCTATCAAGGTCATGACTTGTGTTTTACTCCCAGCCTAGTTATCTGACTCATGATGTTTAAATTCTAGGGGAGTCCTGAGAGGTTAGGAGCACAGATTTGGGTGTCGTGGTGCCTGGATTTGAATCCTAGCCCTGCTTCTTTCTAGCTGTAACTTTGGACAAGTTACTTAACCCCCCCCATGCCTCTGTTTGCTCACCTATAAAACAGGCATAAAAATGGTAATTAGAGTAGAAGGCTGTTTTGAGGAGTACATGAATTATTATATCTGAAGCACTTAGAGCAGTGCCTGGCACACAATAACCACTATGGACTTGCTATATATGATGTTCTTTTGCCCTTTTAATACAGTTTTTCTTCATATTTACCACCCCATATTTTCTACCAGGATCTTCTTTTTTTCCCTGCCATCCCCCCTGCGATTCATTAAACATATTCCAGATATTATTCTAGCACAGACATCTGTGGGGTTTTCCAAGTCACGTTGCACTTTATTTATTTTTCTCTTATTGAATCAGGGTGTTCATTTTTCTCTGTTAGTCTTCTCCTTGTAATTACACTCTTTTTAGACTCCAAATCTGTTTTCTCTTTAAACTGGGGGGGGGGGGGGGGGGGATATCCCTCAAAGTGATAGTCCTCAATGATACCAATTTCCATGCATTCTTCCAAATATTTCTTCCCTCTGCTTGGCCCTCCTTCCCAGTTGTCAATGTGATGCAGCTTGATTATAAATGGATGAACATTTTTAAATTAAGATTTCATGAGCCACTGTACTAAGTGCTTTTCGGAAGTTCAGGGATCGTGTGTCAAGTGCATTTAAGCCAGTTACTTAGTCATTCGAGCAGGGGGCGCACCAGCAGGGCTTTCTTGCCAGGCAGAAACACAAGTGCATGCCTGGTTCTTGCTGGTGAGCTAGTTTGTTCACTGGTTTTCCTGCGTGTTTCCTGTTCTTTTCTTGAGCTTGAAATAAACCAGATGGCACGTGCCATGGGGCAACAGTCTTCCTCTCATTTTAGTTGGGGATATTCCCCCTCTTTTCTTTTTATTTTCACCTTCTTTTCCTTCATCTTTGCAGTTTTGATAAACACCTACTCTGTTTGCCAGCCAGTTCTCTTTTAATTAGGAGATATTTGTCACCTTTGTTTTTTGCAGGAATCCAGTCATCTTTGGTTTTTCCTTCTCTGTTTTTTACATGTTTGTAGAATAAACCAAAGATTGTCACTGTTCATTGATTGGCACCTTCTTAGGAGTTGATTCTGAGTTTTGTTTTGTTTTGTTTTTTGTTTAGGACATTCTAGAGCACGGCCATCTTAGAATAATTGCTTTAGTTCCATTGTTTATGTATTAATAATGGGCCCCTTTCTCTCTGTCTCGCTCTCTTTTTTAGCATCCTGGTGAAAGAGCTTCTTATTTAATTCTTCACTCACACCTTCCTCCTGGTAATCTCTGGCAGTGCCCACAAGGAGAATAGGGGTTCCCCACCACCCTTGTCCAGAGTTCGTAACATTTCTTTGGTCCTATGGAAGACGGGGGCAGAGTCTGTCTTATTTTTTGCCTAAAACCTAGCTCTTTGAAAAGCTGTAGCAAAGAGAGACTTCCAATATAATGGAACTCCATGTGGCAGAACTCCAGTATGACTTGCTCCTGACAATATTCCAGGTCATTTTCATATCTTCACATTCACTTTTGTTGTCCGGGTTCCAGGGCATTATGTTTTTGTATGAAACGTTTTCTGTTTGTATAAATGGCTGATGTGCACAGACAGACCTGTTGTTGCCCTTGAAGCTTGTGCCCTGGACTCAGTTGGGTACGGGCCTTGTTACACAAGGACCCATTCTCTGCTCTTTTGTGGTAAAGGAACACACAGGTAAAAAGCTTATTAGAGGATTGAACACTGAGACCTTCGGGTTTGCCTGGTTTCTGATTTTCTTTTGTTCTCTCTAAGTGGAGTTCCATTAAGTTCGGCAGACTGAGCATCTGGGGTGTGCCAGGATCACAGCTGTCCAGATTAACAAGTGTGTTTGGTTTGCTGCATAAAGACTATTTTGTTTGCATTTTACACTTTAAATTTTTTTATGTTTTTAATTCAAAAATAATTTTTTAAATAGGTAATACATTTACATGATGAAAGAAAATATTCAAGAAGCACCGAAAGTTAGTAAATATATCTCTGTCCACCCGATTCTGCCACCTAGTTTTGTTCCTTAGAGACACCAGTGTTACTGATTTTTTTCCATCCGTCAGAGGTGTTTGTGCACAACCAGAGTATTTTATACATCTTCCCTTTTATGCAAATGGTAGCATGCTATGGGGAACCCTGCTTTTTTCTCTTAATATTTGTTGGCAGTATGGAAAGAGCTCCCCTCTCAGTTTTTATGAAAGCCGTTTATTTTAAAGGCCCGTTTTGTTGTTGTTGTTTGTTTCTAAGGACTCTAAGAACTAATCTTATTTGGGCAGCAGCTTTGCATGGAGGTCCTACAGCATTTTATGGATATTTGGGGGCAGATACTTTTTTGTCTACAAACTGCAGCTCTGAGCCTGGGAAGAGGCTGGGGGAGGTGGAGGGCTTCTCCTGCAGGTCACCCTATGCTGGGAGACTGAGACATGTTGGAGATTGAAGGTCACTGGACCTTAGGCCCTCACCTTGCCTTCTGTGCTGCAATTGCCGGGGAAAGCTTGCTGTGGTTTCTCTGGTCTTTAGAGAAGGCTCCAGCCTTCCTGATGCACATGTCAGCATCTCCCTGACTCGTCCTGGGTCCTGCACCCAGGCTGGCTCTGTGTGCTCTCACCCTTGGGCAGCAGAATGGAACCTACTCTTCATCATGGGACTTCCTGCTTGGGTAGCTGCGTTAGATGCCCACCTCTTCTTTTCTCTCACTCCAGGAAAGTCAGCTCTCACACCTGCACCTCTGACCCATGTTTCCCAAACCAGCATTTGGGAATAGAATTTCTGTTGCTCTCCTTATTGGTGTTTCCCAAGTTCTCCAAATCACTTGACCATTTCCAAGGTCTGAACCTGACAGGGCCTTGCTAAGCTTTCACTAATGATGACTCTATAGGAGTTTTGGCCCTGGCCAGTTTGGCTCAGCGGTTAGAGCATCGGCCTGCGGTCCTGAGAGACCAGGGATCGGTTCCCGCTAAGGGCATGTACCTCGGTTGCAGTTTGTCCCCAGCCCCGGTTGGTCGTGCGGGTGGCAGCCACTCGATGTGTCCCTTTCACATCTATGTTTCTTTCTCTCTCTCTCTGTTCCTCTCTCTCCCTTCCACTCTTCCTGAACAAAAAATGGAAAAATGTCCTCAGGTGAGGATAAAAAAAAAAAAAAAGAAGAGAGTTTTGGGTTCTTCATGTTTGAATTTTCTGTGACTGCACTTAGGGTTTATATGACCATATGGATGTCAACATGGTCTTATGGTTTCTGTGGCCCCCATATCTTGCCTTTGCTGTGTTTTTCTCTCTCCTTTAATGTGCCTTAATCTGCTTTTATTTACCTCTGAGTCTCATTGAGTCACCTTGAAATCAAATCGAATCTTCAAGATGTTAGTCAGCCTTTCTAATCGTCTAGACTCATGAC